TTGGCCTGATGAAGCCCCTAGCAGTTTATGGTGGCCTGGAGGGCACCCTTAGCAGAGGAGGAGGCATGCCAGTGGAGCATTTGTCGTCATGATTGGGTCAGATACAGCAGGTGGGGAGTGGGGGTGGAGAGCTCCAGCCTGTTGCTACCCGGCTTTCTCAGTCTCCGCTGATCTGTGGGTGCTGCTAAGCAGGAGCAGTACATGGCTGCACATGGCACAAAGTGCACACGCTGGTTGCTGCCACCAACCCCAGAAGGTCAGACCAGAACCAATGGGGTGAAATTAAATCAGAAGAGTTTTCGGCTAAACGTTAGGAAGAACTTCCTGACAGAGCGGTTGCTTAGTGGAACAGGCTTCCTCAGGAGGTGGCGGGCTCTCCTTCTGTGGAGGTTTTCAAGCGGAGACTAGATGGCCATCTGCCAGCAGTGCTGATTGTGTGAACTTGGGCAGATTACGAGAAGGGAGGGCAGGGAGGGTTGCCTCAGTGCTTGGTTCTCGTGGCCCTTTCTTACACGCCCAGGGAAATGCCGATCGCCACTTTGGGGTCAGGAAGCAATTTTCCTCCAGGCCAGTTTGGCTGGAGATCCTGGAGGGGGTTTTTTTGCCATCTTCTGGGCATGGAGCAGAGGCCACTGGGTGTGTGTGTAGGGGGAGGGTGTTTGTGGATGCGGTCGACATCTCCCGAGGCTCTGAGATTGTTGAGCACTTTAATGTATTGTATTTATTGTTTTTAAACTGTATAACTTGTTTTAAATGTAATTTAAATTGATGTTTTACTATGGTAAGATCTTTTACTATGTAAGCCGCCCTGAGCCCTATGGGGGAGGGCAGGATATAAATCTAATAAATGAAATGAAATGAAATGAAATTGTGAATTTCCTGCATTGGGTAGGAGGTTGGACTAGATGACCCTGGAGGTCCCTTCCAACTCTATGATTCTAGGATTCCTCACAGTCGTAAACAGAGCTTGACAGGTAACGCTGTCCTCCTTTCTGTGCCCTTTGCCACATGCAAATACACCCTCACCTGGAGTTACAGCTGTAAATTTAACTGAGTGACCAAGACAGTCAGGGCTTTTGGGGGGGGGGGGAACGACCAACTCTATTTAGGAAGAGAGGGGATTCAAACAGCTGATCAAAAGACCCAAGGATAGCCAGAAATGAGGGGTGGGGTATTGAGAGGGGGGAGAGATTGAGTGCAAGAACACTGCCAGACTGGCAAACAGCTTCCGAAATATATTCTAATGCACTCAGTTTTTATTAGGTCATTCCCTTTCCAAGCAGCACAGGAAATGTTTTTAATGGGCTGGTTAAGGTACCACCTCTTCCCTGGAAATTGGACTTTTCCTCTGATGAGTGGTTTCTGATTCCCACTTCTGGGGAGAATGGCCATTGGCAAGGAATTGGGCTCAGAAAAGAAGTTGTGGGTGGGGATTCACACCTCTCGCACAACAAAGAAAATCAGAGGCTTTAGCTAAAGGCACGGTCCTGAGAGGAAGGACGGGACTACAACGAGCTAAGCCTCTCTGGAGAGTTTACCCTTGCAAGGTGTCGCAGGGGTCATTTCCTGCAGGAGCGCACAGGAGCGGAGCTCCGGCAGTAAAGAGCCCAGGGGGCGGGCACATGCAACAAGCCCCACCCCCTGCTCCCAGCAGCCCTCAGTCAGAGCAAGAAGCAGCCAGGTAAGCTGCAGAGCCCCACCCCCCTGGACCCCCCCTCCAAAACAGTCCAGTGACACCTTTAAGACCAAGTTTTATTCAGGTACAAGCTCTCCCTCCTCTGTGAGGACAGTTCTGCATGTTCCTCCCCCCCCAATAGCTAGCAATCCAAAACAGTCCAGTGGCACCTTTAAGACCAAGTTTTATTCAGGTACAAGCTCTCCCTCCTCTGTGAGGACAGTTCTGCATGTTCCTCCCCCCCCAATAGCTAGCAATCCAAAACAGTCCAGTGGCACCTTTAAGACCAAGTTTTATTCAGGTACAAGCTCTCCCTCCTCTGTGAGGACAGTTCTGCATGTTCCTCCCCCCCCAATAGCTAGCAATCCAAAACAGTCCAGTGGAGCCTGAGTGGTGGGCGTTGCCTTCTGACACACTTCCGGTGACGTCAGGGGGTGTGGCATATGCAAATAAGGTATGCGAATGGGTTATGCTAATGAGTTCCTGCACCTCTTTTTCTACGAAATGACCCCTGAGAGGACATATCAGTCAGGGGGAATATGAGAAACAGGGAAGAAGTTACTGGGAAGGAACATCATGACAGGCCTGTATCCCCTGACCCTAATCCCCAGATAAATCCCGTTCAGGGTGCTGTAAACTTTGAAGAGTTTTGGCCACTTTGAGAAGTTGTGGGGAGGATTAATTAGGATAAGAGGAAAATCACTTCTCCCTCATTTTAATTAATTGCTCCCCACCAAAGGATTATCGGCTGTAAAGGGGGCTGAGCCTTGAGAAATCCATGGATTACACTCTGCCCTTCCTCCACGTGGTTCTTCCTTACTTGTTTTATCCTAACAACAGTCCTGTGAGGTAGGCTAGGCATTGGTTGACTGGCCCAAGGCCACCCAGTGAATGCCGGAGGAGATTGGGAGGAGGGCAGAGAAACTGTGCTCAAGAAGACACATTCTGTGAATCTTGCATTCCCCCAACCCCAGGAGAAGGCACACGAGAGACAGCACGTGCGCTTGGTTTTCATGTTTTGCAGACGATTCCAAAGCAGCAGAAGAGGCAGAAGCCAAGGAAGAAGAGGAGAAGACGCTGAATGAACTCGTGGACGTTTTGCAAGACATGGTGCAAGATATCCCCACAGAAAAGGCAGAACTCCCCCTACACACCATCCTCCTACCGACTGTCCCCCTACCGACTGAACCACCGGAGGTCGCGTCAACAGTCCTGGAGGTCGCGTCAACAGTCCTAGAAGCTTCCCAGTCGGAAACAGCCAGCACCGTTTGGGTCGATTTGAAGTCAACGCCTCAGGAAGAAGAAGTGGAGACACCAGAAACCGTTGTCGTGGCCGACCAAATTACCCCTGGCAGCCCAACATCCATTTTGGAAATGCAGAAAGGCACAAGTGAACTTGTTGTTCAGCATACCGATCAGACCGCTACAGAAAAACCACTGGTTAGTGTTTCACTCTTTATAAAAAAGTCTACTACCAAAAAGAGCGTTAAGAACTTTGATCAGCTGACAAATGGAGCCCTATCAAATCTGGAGCAGTCTCTGGAAAACGTTGAGAAATTAGATGGGATACTTGATACCTTCACTAAGAAACCAGTGGACCAGGAAAGTGAAGAGGGGAAGGTGCATAAGAAGAAGCTAACTGCGGAGGAAATCTTGGACTTGATTGAAAAACTAATCGAAACCCTAAAAAGTACACCGTCCTTCGTGAAAGAAGATCGAAATCTCTATAAATACATCCAGACAGCAGAGACCTACATTAAAGAGGCTCTGGAGCTGACGGAAAAAGCAGAGAAGAAGGTGCAGCAGGAGACTCCTGTCTTGCCTTCCACACACCCACCTGCACGAGAGAAGGAAATTCTCGTGGTGCACACCCCAGAACCTTTGCCAGTGCCCGTCCCAGAACCTTTGCCGGTGCCCACCCCGGAACCTTTGCCAGAGCCCACCCCGGAACCTTTGCCGGTGCCCACCCCAGAACCTTTGCCAGAGCCCACCCCGGAACCTTTGCCGGTGCCCACCCCGGAACCTTTCCCGGTGCCAACCGTGATCGTCCACTCAATATCACCTCCACCTGTGCCTCTAGCCGAAAAGGTAGAAGATGCCCAAGTGGAAATGGGGAAGTTAAAAGCATTTATTAACTTGCTGTATGGCTTTAGTCCCCATCTGACCACGTACACACAGAATGCGGCCCATAAAAAAGTGGCGGAGGACATTGTGGAGAGAGCCCTGGCCGTCCTTCATGCCATAAAGAGCGTTTTCTGTGGAAGCGAAGAAGCTCGGAGCAAACAAGCCCTCAAAGAGCTGCTGAAGGAGGACATGGAGCTCGTGAACCAAGCCATGAAGACGAAGAGAGTCTCTTAAGAAGAAAGACCCGTCTTGTTTCTTGGTAGCGTAGCTGTTTCTCATCAAACACGTGTCTGATCAGAGGCCCCTTTGTAACAGCCATCTTTCCGGGTGTTGTAGGCATTTCCAGGTCTGGAATTAAATGTTTATTTCTAAATAAAAATCTCTCTTTCATTTTTCATCCTCCTGTTGAACTGATCTTTGAGAGACTTATAGTTGGAATTTAGACTTAATGTAAATTATTGAAGAATATAGTTAAAGGTTGTTGGAGAAAAGTCTTGCGTTAGAGCACAAAGTGACTATCTGCAAACAAAAAATGAAAAGTGAGGCAACTCTTGCCCTTCTAGGGTAGCCTCAACCGTATGAGGACGTCAGGGTTCTGTTGCCGAATCGGGTCCAAGGTCACATGAAGCCGCCTTCTACTGAAATCAGACTACTGAGTCATCTACATTAGAGCCAGTTTGGTGTCGTGGTTAAGTGCGCAGACTCTAATCTGGGAGCACCGGGTTTGATTCCCCACTCCTCCACTTGCACCTGGCTGGATGACCTTGGGCAAGCCGTAGTTCTGATAAGAGCTGTTCTTGAAAAAGAGCAGTTTCTGTCAGAGCTCTCTCAGCCCCACCCCCCTCACAGGGTGTCCGTCTGTTGTGGGGAGGGGAAGGGAAAGGAGTTTGTAAGGCACTCTGAGACACCTTTGGGTAGTGAAGGGCGGGGTATAAATCTAGTCTCTTCTTCTTCTATTCAGACTGGCAGCAGCTCTCCAGTCGAAATCTTTCACATCACCTCCTTCCCGGTGCTTTCAACTGCAGATGCCACGGTTTGAACCCGGGACCTTTTGCATGCCACTGAGCCACTGTACCTCCCAGTCTAAGCCAAAGCTTCTACTCCCAGAGTCGGATTCGACTGGCTTTTGAGCAAGAGAAACCTTTACCTAGCAGTCAAAAAGAGCAGCGTCAGGTGCTTCTAGGAAGTTCCCAAGTGGGCACAGCAGGAGTAGGTTGTCCTTTTTGTTTCCCTGGCAACCAGAGCTGCCCAGCCATTGGATGTGGAGGCTCCATTCCTACTTTTTCTGGTGTGTTGACAGGCCCACCCTCCGTGCATGTCTTCTGTCCTTTATGGGGGAAAGTCATCTGTGGCTGTGGCTGTCATTGCCGGGGCAGACCCAGATGTTAAAACATCCCAGGAGGAACAGTCTGAGCCAAGAGGAGGCTCCGGGCTGGCATTCCCACGGGGCTGTTTGGCTTCGATCCAGCCAGCAGTGGCACAGGAGGAGGGGGATCAAGAGGGGCAGCCGTGTTTGCCTGTCTGCTGTTGATGCTGAACTGCAGACCGGAAGGTCGGTAGTTCGGCAGTTTGAGACCCAAGCGCTGCATGACGGAGTGCGCTCCCATTCATGGCCCCAGCTCCTGCCAGCCTAGCAGTTGGAAAGCAAGAAATTGCAAGTAGATAAATAGGCACCGCTTTGGTGGGAAGGTAACAGCGTTCCGTGCGCCTCAGTGTCTAGTCATGCCAGCCACATGACCACGGAAATGTCTTTGGACAGTGCTGGCTCTTGGGCTTGGAAACGAAGATGAGCACCGCCCCCTAGAGTCAGATTCGACTGGCTTTTGAGCAAGAGAAACCTTTACCTAGCAGTCAAAAAGAGCCAGAGAGTCCAGCAGCACCTTGAAGACTAACCAAATATGTGGCAGGGGAGGAGCTTTCGTGATTCACTGCAGTCACTTCTTTGGATACAGGAGGAGGGGATGGGTGACCCAACACCCGTTGCCGCTGTCGCTGCTGACCAGGTCCTAGTTGAGTGGCTCCTGCATCACTTCTCAGGGCTCGGCTCGGCTTGCCCCTGGCCACCAGCGGCCCTTCAGGGCAGCAGCCAACCGGAAGGGCCACTCTTGCCACTCATCATTGCAGGCTGACGTGGTACAAAGTCCCTGTGGCTCCCGTAAGGACTCTGGACCTGACATGTGCTGAGAGTTCAGTGGGGACCAGATTGGGAGCACACATGGAGAAGGCGCTTTTTGCCCTCTCCCCACCATGTTGTTTTCCTGATCTGGAAACAAGCCCCGGCTGATGCTGTTTGGCTGCGCTGGGGAATGTGCATGCAATGACTGCCTACGCGTGAGTTTCCCAGCGGGGCAAATACCAGGTCCCCGGGGCTACTGCAGGTTCGCAGAAGGGCACCAGGGAAGGGGAAGCGTGGGTCCTTCTCTACACACACCTTGGTGGTCCCAATCAGAATCGGGCCTCTGGTGCCCGAGAAGCCTGGAACTCTCAGCGCACACGTGATCCAAAGTCCTTGTGGTGACTGTGAGGAATTCGTTATCGTGTGAATCAGCCCGATGCATTGCAGCCAAAACAAACAAAAAAACCCTGTAAGTTAACTGTGCAATACATGAAGCAATGGTGGACAACACGGGAACGGAAGATCCATTTAGTTAGTTAGTTTATACTCCGCACCCTCTCCCCACAGGGGGACTTGGGGCCCCTTACAACATTTAAAAAGCAATAAATAGATCAAGATGGGTAGTCATGTTAGTCTGTAGCAGTAGAAAAGAGCAAGAGTCTAGTAGCATCTTAAAAGACTAACAAAACTGGCTGCCAATAGGATACCGAATCCGTTTCAAGGTGCTGGTGCTTACCTTTAAAGCCTTTTATGGCCCGGGTCCGACATACCTGAGGGACCGCCTTTCCCCACATATACCCCAGAGAGCACTGAGGTCGGGGTCACAGAATCGCTTGACCCTGCTGGGCCCCAAAGAGGCTAGGCTCGCCGTGACGAGGGCCAGGGTTTTCTCAGTGGCGGCTCCTTATTGGTGGAATGAGCTCCCGGAGGAGATCAGGGCCCTGCGGGATCTGTTGCAGTTCCGCAGGGCCTGCAAAGCGGACCTCTTCCACCAGGCCTTTGATTAGGAGCCGCCCCCACCACTACCATCAATGAGCCCGGCCCTCAGTGCCAACATCTGGCCCGTTACATCGAGCGACTCGGAACGACCCTGAGCTGGAATCTAGTTGTCGTGGACACATCTTAATACGCCACCATAAGCAACGAACTGTAGAACCGAATAGCACCTTATGATTTTATGTTTTAACTTATTATGAAATGCTGTATAGTGTTTTATCGGTTTTATTGGCAATTGGGCCATTGCTGTAAGCCGCCCTGAGCCCGTTCGCGGGGAGGGCGGGGTATAAATTGAATTAATAAAATAAATAATAAACACATGCCACATATTTAGTTAGTTTAAGATGCTACTGGACTCTTGCTCTTTACGAATGCAATAAATAAAAGTAGAAGACAAATAAATATAAGTATAATACAATAAAGCTGATTAAAGGCCTTAAACATCAAGCCAATCTGAAGGATTAAAACAACTGGCCGGCACCCCCCACCCCGGTTCATAAGCAGCCTTGCACGCCCTACAGAATGCTGGCAGATCCCACAGGGCACAAACATCTCCCAAGAGCTGGCTCCAGAAAAAGGGGGCAGCTGATGAAAATGCCCTGTCAATCACCAGGGTTGACAGGCAGGTGTATTGCGGGCCGGGCACTTCTAGAAGGCCCCCCCGTGATGATGATCAGAGGAGGGGAGGGGTGGCCACACGGGTACATTATCCCCAGGCCATTTATGGCTTCAGAGGTCGAACCCAGCACTTTGAATAAATAATAAACACATGCCACATATTTAGTTAGTTTAAGATGCTACTGGACTCTTGCTCTTTACGAATGCAATAGATAAAAGTACAAGACAAATATGATAAGTATAATACAATAAAGCTGATTAAACACCTTAAACATCAAGCCAATCTGAAGGATTAAAACAACTGGCCGGCACCCCCCACCCCGGTTCATAAGCAGCCTTGCACGCCCTACAGAATGCTGGCAGATCCCACAGGGCACAAACATCTCCCAAGAGCTGGCTCCAGAAAAAGGGGGCAGCTGATGAAAATGCCCTGTCAATCACCAGGGTTGACAGGCAGGTGTATTGCGGGGCGGGCACTTCTAGAAGGCCCCCGTGATGATGATCAGAGGAGGGGAGGGGTGGCCACACGGGTACATTATCCCCAGGCCATTTATGGCTTCAGAGGTCGAAACCAGCCCTTTGAATTGAAGCCGGTGCAGGTGCCGAGGTATTGCCGTTATATGTGCAGACCAGGGAGACCCAGTCAGCAATCTAGCACCCACATTCTGGACTGACTGAAGCTTCCGAAGCGTCTTCAAAGGCAGCCCTAGGCAGGGCCCGTTACAGTAGTCTAATCTGGAGGTGACCATCGCGTGGATCACAGTGGCAAGGTCAGAGCGGGACAACGAAGACAGAGGATAAATCAGAACTCTACTGGGTGGGATGATCCTAGGAGGAAAGCCGCTCTGGAAAGGCTAAGTGAGATCTTCTCCCCCAACAGCAAGGCAGCGGCCGTGCTTTGTGTGCCACGGACATGGGCAGCCCCAAACGTGGCTCGTTGCAGACGGCTCGTCAGCAGCACCTGTTGCTGCGCTCTTGTCTTGACTGGAGCAGAGCCTCCTGTCACCGGCAGTCTGACTGGGCTGCTCATCAGCAACAAACACCCTGCCAGAGAATCTGTGCGTAAAAGGTTCTTCTGCCCTGAATGAAACCGGGGCCTGGATAGGACATTTTATTTCATCAAATATTGTCTTATAGTGAGCCAGAAAGGACAAGAGGTTCCGTAAAGCGCTCTGGGAAAGGCGTCTGCAAGGCTTGGCATAGCGGCCCCTGGGACAGCAGCGGCAGGTAGGGCAGGATGTTTGCCTTCCTCTGCAGTGTGTGTGTGTCTGTGTGTCTTCTTGACGCTGTTTAGGTGGGTGGTCAGTCGGTCTGCAGGAGAAGAGCAAGAGGCAAGTCCCGTGTCACCTGAGAGACTGATGAGGTTTCCGCAGCTCCCTTCACCGAACACAAGTATGGATGGAGACCCCAGCCAGGGGGTGAGGGTGGGGGGTGTTGCAAGGAAGGTGGTGTTGCAAAGAAAGGGTGCACCCTTACATCCAGGGGTCATTTCCACCGCGCTCCGGCAGTAAGGAGCCCAGGATGCCTGCCGCCATTCCTGGCCCGCCTGCACAGGTGGACAGGCCAGAGAAGACCTGCACACACACACCCCCCCGCTGCTTGGGGGGATTTAAATGGGGAAGGGAGAGAGAGGCATTCTACACATGCCTTCCCTTTGTCGGGGTGTGTGGCATATGCAAATGAGTTGTGCAAATGAGCTCCTGCACCTCTTTGAGAGCCAGTTTGAGGGCCAGTTTGATGCAGTGGATAAGTTCACCTTGAGAGCCAGTCTGGCACCTTGAGAACCAGTTTGGTGTAGTGGTTGAGTGCGCGGACTCTAATCTGGGAGAACTGGGTTTGATTCCCCACTCCTCCACTTGCTCCTGCTGGATGACCTTGGGCAAGCCATAGTTCTGACAAGAGCTGTCCTTGAAAAAGAGCAGTTTCTGTCAAGAAGTCTCTCAGCCCCACCGACCTCACAGGGTGTCTGTTGTGGGGAGGGGAAGGGAAAGGAGTTCGTAAGCCGCTCTGAGACACCTTTGGGTAGTGAAGGGCAGGGTATGAATCCAATCTCCTCCTCTTCTCCTTCTCCTCCTTCTCCTTCTCCTTCTCCTTCTCCTTCTCCTTCTTCCCTTGAGAGCCAGTTTGGTATAGTGGTTAAGTACCATTCCAACATATTTGAAAAAGTGTGCCTTGCACACGAAAGCTCATACCTTGAATAAGCTTTTTTTCATCTTAAAGGTGCCACTGGACTCCAAATCGGTGCAAGAAAGTTATTTTACATACCTTTTCCGTCTCTACCAGTTCCCCGATTTGTCACATCTATACAGGTACGCCTTCCGGAATGTTTTTAAATGAGCTGAGTGCTATAATTCTTATTTGTGGCCATTGAAAACTTGCCAGGTAGATTAGATTGAGACAGAGGCAACCCCAACTACACCCAGGGTGTTTCACAAATTAGAACCCAAGTCTCTTATGCTGTCCCACACACCAGGCTCCTGTGCACCATTAATCAGGTTTAAACGGCCTGCCTTGCGCTTGCTTTTGCCACCAGAAGTGCAAAATACAAATGGCCGTCTGGTCTTGACATTCCCATAGCAACCCCACCCCCCAGTTTTGGAGTCCGACCTCACCCACAGCGTTACCTGACAAGCAGGATTTGCTCGGAGACTTCTGAAAAGGTCAGTCGCAACAAAAGACGCTCCCCCCCCCCTCCACCGCCTTCCATGTTTCTGATGACCGAACAAAGGCCCGGCGTGACATTGAGGCTGCACGGGCGGTAGGGACGCCATCCCATCCTATAAGGTCGGGAGGTTTTGGGAGTGAAAAGGGAAGTTAAAGAAATAACATTCAACAGTTGTGCTTCCTGTGAGAAGAGGGTGACCCGTCTCAGCCTGGGGATCACGTAGGAGGAAAGTTGACAAGGATTCCTAAAGGTCAAGATTGAACGGGGTCGGTCAGGTCAACTCTGTGAGGAAGCAGGACCCTTTCGAGGTGGCTGCTTCTCCCCATGGCTAAGGGCCTCGCAGGCAATGCTCCCTCTCAGCTGTGGAGTCTTGTGAGCAAAAATCCTACTTTGTGAGCTACTGGCATTACAGTTGTGAGTGAGCGATTTGGCTGCTGTATAAATTAGTTTGCTCTGGAGCCCTCCTTCCTGAGCTACGGCAAAAATGTGTGAGCCGGAGGTTAAAAAACTGTGAGCTAGCTCACACTAACTCAGCTGAGAAGGGGACACTGCTCACAGGTGAGGTACTGACTAGCACAGGGATTTGACACTGCTGGAGCCACTGCCGCTGGTGTGAGGGAAGCCTACAGCTGTTGTCATCTGAACGGAGCAGGCCCCGGGGCACGGCCAGTGCCTCTGACTGGGTAATATTCATCACCACAGGCAGTGGTCCCTTGAACTTGCCACAAAAGCAGGGGCCCCAGCCTCCAGGTGGTAAGAAACCCAAACGGGAGAGATGCACAAAAGGGAGTAAGCAGGGCTGTTTTGGGGCAGGAACACACAGGAACAGAGCTCCGGCTGGCTCACGAGTTGGCCACACCCAGCAGGAACTCATTAGCATAATAGGTCACACCCAACAGCAGGAACTCATTAGGATTGGCTACATTAGGGGTGTGTGGCCTAACATGCAAAGGAGTTCCTGCTACAAAAAAAGCCCTGGGTAAACAGAATAAGAAGCAAAAGGTGGGTGTGGCTGGATGAGCACACTTCTGGTAACATGGGGGTGCGGCCTAATATGCCAATGAGTTGTGCTGTCAGGGGTGTGGCCTAATATGCTAATGAGTTCCTGCTGGGCTTTTTCTACAAAAAGAGCCCTGCCTGAAGCTGTCCGTGCTTGTAGCCGCCGCCACCTCCTGTGGCAGTGAATTCCAAGATCAAACCGTGCATAAATAATGAAAAATATATTCAACAGTCAATGAGTATAATAAACTGAACCTATATACCTAAGAGTAGCTTATCAAAATTACAGTGTAATAGACAGAAATGCAAAAGCACACAGTCCAAATACAGTCCTATTGCTCCACCTTCAGAAATAGTCCAAGTCAAGCTCCTCAAAAAGTAAAAAGTCCCAAATATAGATGTTTATAATTTATAATGCCAGTTTGGTGTAGTGGTTAGGAGCGTGGACTCTAATCTGGGAGAACTTGATTCCCCACTACTCCGCATGCAGCTGCTGGTGTGACCTTGGGTCAGTCACAAGTTCTTTCAGAGCTGTTCTCTCAAGGGCAGTTCTCAAAAGAGCTCTCTCAGCCCCACCTACCTCTTGGGGTGTCTGTTGTGGGGAGGGGAAGGGAAAGGAGTTTGTAAGCGGCTCTGAGACTCCTTCTCTCTGAGACTCCTTCGGGTAGTGAAGGGGTATAAATCCAATCTCCTCCTCCTTTTCTTCTTCTCCTCCTCCTCCTTCTCCTCCTCCTCACAAAATCCTCGTCTCACTGCTTGTGGATCTACTTCACAGCCACGCTGGCTCCAAGTTGCCATATAATCTTGCTTCCTCAAAAATGGAACACCAAAACCGCCCAGCTCCAGTGTTGAAAAATACACAGCTCTCTCGAGAACTACCCTTGAGAGAACATCTCTGAAAGAATTTATGACTGACCCAAGGTCACACCAGCAGCTGCACGTGGAGGAGGAGGGAATCAATTCTGGTTCTCCCAGATTAGAGTCTGCACTCCTAACCTCTACACCAAACTGTAGTGTACCCACTACACCAAACTGGCTGTCATAACTTTAATTCTCTCCCTGCCATTGGTGGTTCCATGGTACTGCAGGCCAATTCTTTCACGTTTCGATACCTGGAAACCCTATTCATGATTATATATATTTTGATTCGATTTCTACCCCATTTATTTATTTATTATTTGTATTTTTATCCCGCCCTCCCCGTAGGCTCAGGGCGGCTTACACGGCATGTTGCCGAAACATATAGTAAAACAGTAAAAACATTAAAAATATTAAATAACATTAACTCTTAAAACATCATACATACAAAACAGTAATTGGTGCTCGCCTCCTAAAACCAGATGGCATCTTGCTTCCTCAAAAATGGAACACCAAAACCGCCCAGCTCCAGTGTTGAAAAATACACGGCTCTCTCGAGAACTACCCTTGAGAGAACATCTCTGAAAGAATTTATGACTGACCCAAGGTCACACCAGCAGCTGCACGTGGAGGAGTGGGGAATCAATTCTGGTTCTCCCAGATTAGAGTCTGCACTCCTAACCTCTACACCAAACTGCAGTGTACCCACTACACCAAACTGGCTGTCATAACTTTAATTCTCTCCCTGCCATTGGTGGTTCCATGGTACCGCAAGCCAATTCTTTCACGTTTCAATACCTGGAAACTCCATTCATGATTATATATATTTTGATTTGATTTCTACCCCATGAGCTCTTAGAGTGGCCTCCAGCAGTTTCCCCACTTCTGGACCCGGAATGCTCACAGTCTTTGGGGCAAAAGAAAGAGCAGAAAACATCACGGGGTGGTGGCTACAAAGATCCCTTCTCAAATGCTGTTCCAGTTCCCGGTTTCCTAGGGGTCCATGGATCGGGACGATGACGCCAAATGGCTGGAGTGGGTCGCCCAGCAGTTTGAGACCATCGCTGGGGAAGATCAAGAGATCGACTTGGAAGAATTCAAAACCGCTCTCAAGGTGAAGGAGGCAAGTTTCGCTGGCAGGGGAGGAAGCCAACCTGGGGAGGGGGCTGGTGCATCCGTGCACCGTGCAAGGGAAGGCAACGGAGGGGCTTTGCTGGTCGCGCCTGTACTTTTTTTGCAGGCACTCCCTAGAGATGAAATTGAGGGTGCCGAGGGGTCAAAGGAGGCAGCGGAGAAATGGAGGGGGCCCAAGGAGAAAAAGCAGCTGGGGAGGGAGGGAGGGGGAGAGGTGGACCTTCATTGGGAAGGGGTGGATTAAGGGTGGATTGAAATGGCCGAGAGGCCAGTTGAGCTGAGCGGCATCTACAGCACAGTCCTTCTGGGCAGGATCCCACCAGGCACCTGTTGCCCCCCTGAGCTGGATAAGCAAGGGAGCTATGGGGGATAGAGGGACTATGAGCCGCAGGCAACCCTGCAAGGAAGTGCGTATGGGTGGGGGGGGGGCAGGCGGTCATATCTTGCTTTGAATCATCAGTGCGTCCAGCCGTGTAAGAATTTAGCCCCTTCCTTTCCTACTGGCATTTACGAAAGCAAGGCCGGCGGAAGCACAGAGCGATGAGAATGCCAAGGTCTGGATTCCAGCACCCTCTCTGTTGACGTTGACAACATTCCTCCCATCTTCCTCTAGTCCTTTTTTGCCGAGCGGTTCTTTGCGTTGTTTGACGCCGACGGAAGCGGCACGATCACTCTGGATGAACTCCTCGCATCCTTGAAACTGCTGGTCCATGGGAGTGAAACAGACAGACTCCGGTTCCTCTTCCAGGTTTACGACGTGGATGGTACCATTCCAGACTTCACATCTCCTTCCTTTGTACTTTACCCAAGCGAGATTTTATTTTGCAGAGCCCCTCGCAGTCCTCTGAGCTTTGCATGCCAGCTTGGAACAGTTGGACTGTTGCCATCTTGTGCTTTTAGCAGCTGTGCGGGACAAACAGACATTCAAGAGGTGCCGTTTTCAGATCTCTGCAGAATCTCATTTTGGCCGTAATGTCAGTGTGCCACTTGGCTGCAATTCATGGTGTCTTAGTAAATGGGATAGAGTCCTGATACGGTGGATGTTTTAGCCTCGCGCAGCAGGTCCAGGGGACCCATGCAGCTTAGACCTTTTCCTTTCCCATATAAGCCCATATAAGCCCTACAGTTGTCAGTGTTTAGCATCTTGGGCTGTGCTCCCCATAGAGCAGCTGATCGGCTTTTCCCAAAGCGACCAACATACTTAAATCTACTGGGAAAAGGCAGCCCTCCAGTTTCATTCAGAGTCTTTTTGTGAAAATGTGCTTTTGGTACCCATTGACTGGCATAGAAAGAATGGATGGAAATTGGCAACTCGTATGACCTGGCTGGCCCAGGCTAGCCTGATCTCGTTAGATCTCAGAAGCTAAGCAGGATCGGCCAATCTGTCCATGTTGATTCATAGTTCTGTAACCTTTTGGCTGGACTGCTGTCAGGGCCGGCTTGAGGTGTTTCTGCACCCTAGGCGAGGCTGCCTTGTGGTGCAGATGCCAACCTCCCGGTGGGGCCTAGAAACCTGGAGACCTCTGGAGCCAGCCACCCTTTTGCTACCACCGCCACCGCCGCCCCCCCGGCGGCTGTTGGACCCAGCGAGTGCACCCCGCACGTTCCTGCAGCGCCCTCCAAGATGGAAGAGAGATTTCTCTTGCGCTCCACTTCTGAAGGCAGTTTGGGAGGGGGGGATCCTGTCTCCGAGCGAGGGATGCTCGCCGGATGCCTCTCCCCAATTAGCGAAGTGCTGACATATGGAGAGCTGCTCGCGGGCTTTTGGCGGAGGGGGGGACAACTCGGCACTCCATCCAGGGCCCACTGCCCCATCCAGGGCCCAGCACTCTAGGCGGATGCCTAGTTCGCCTAGTGGGTGAGCCGGCCCTGACTGCTGTAAAACTCTACACGGGGCTGCCCTTGAAAACCGTCTGGACGCGTCAGCTAGTGCAAAATACAGCCGTTGGTGAGGGTGTGCGTGTGAACACTGAGGCAATATTGAAAGCGCTTCACCCATTTGCTTTTGGTCTCAGTTCAAAGTGCTGGTTCTTGCCGTTAAAAGCCATTCATGATCTGGAGCCTCTTTGGCATCCAAAGGATTGTCTCCTCCCACATGAGCCCAGGTGACACATCCCCTCCCGGTGATCCCTTTGATTTTTATTTATTTATTTGTGTACTGGATTTCTACCCTGCCCTCCCAGCCAAAGCCGGCTCAGGGCGGCGTACATAGAAACCTGAAATTACATAGAATAAATAAATTACATTAAAAACATGAATTACAATGAAAACAGTTCAGCCACAAGGTGCTAGTAGCACTTGTCAACAGTTTGGTGACGGCAGCCATTATTCCGTGTCCTTAGCTCACAGTCAGCTCGCCAAACTCATTTTTGATTGTTCTTGCAGGAACTGATGTCCTTTGGGCTGTGGGTGAAGGTTTCCAGGAATCCGGGCCCCCTCACATTCCGTTGTTGGTTGTTAGCTATTGATGATGGTGGCGGCCCCCAGAAGCCTGGCGGAAGAGCTCCGTCTTACAGGCCCTGCAGAACTCTGAAAGGTCCCGCAGGGCCTGATCTCCTCTGGGAGCTCATTCCATTAGGTTCATTCTGTTGCAACAAGGAACCCCCCCCCTACCCCTCTGGAATGATCTTCCAGAGGAGATTCAGAAGCCGCCGTCTCTGGCTAATCTTCTCAGTTCAAGTAGGGCTGTTCCAAAAGGGATTTGGTGTCTTTCGGTTGGGCATTGGGGGTTGGGTTACTTCGACCGCAGAGTCCCAGAGTAGGTCGGGGCTTGATAGAGCATCCGTTCTGATTTCTTGCTGACTGCAGGAAATCGAAAGCTCTTAGAGCACTCCCCACAGACAGCCGTCCGACCTTTGCCTGAAGGGGTGGGAGAGAGTGCCGTCAAATCACGGCCAGCTCATGGTGACTCCATGGGATTTTCAGGGCAAGAGACACACAGGGGTGGTTTGCCATTGACCTCCTCTGCAGAGCAAACCTGGGCTTCCTGGGCGGTCTCCCATCCACTTACTTACCGGGGCCGACCCTGCTTAGCTTCTGAGATCTGACGAGATCGGGCTAACCTGGTCCATCCAGGGCAGGGCTTTGCCTGACAACCTCCTCCTGCTTTCATAATTGGTTTGTTTCTATTGTCTTCTGGTGTCACTCTGAATGTAGGAGAAGGTAGGCTTGACATGTTTAAATTAATGAAATGGGACCCCTCAGAACTAGTCTCAGTTCTTTCCTCAGACTTCCATTTCCCCCCCTCTGCTTCGTGCGCCCTTTACAGACCAGTTTGTCGGCCATTTCAGTAGTTTAAGTTAACCGACGACAGGTAGGCCTCAGGAGTGTTCTGTTGCTGTCGATTCCTCCCGTGTCGACTGCAGATCCTCTTTCCTTGCAGGCAGTGGGTCCATTGACTCTGACGAGCTGCGCACTGTCTTGAAATCGTGCCTGAAGGAGAGTTCGATATCTTTGCCGGAAGAGAAGCTGGACGACCTCACCAGGGCCCTTTTTGAATCCGCCGACGCGGACAACAGCGGCGCCATCACCTTTGAAGAGCTGAGAAGGGAACTGGAACGGTTCCCAGAGGTCATGGAGAACTTAACAATAAGGTATTCGCTCTAGATCACCTTCGTGCTCTCCATATCCCACAACCTCATTTCATAAGAACATAAGAACATAAGAGATGCCAATGTTGGATCAGGCCAGTGGCCCATCCAGCCCAACACTCTGTGTCACACAGTGGCCAGAAATACCAGGTGCCATCAGGAGGTCCACCAGTGGGGCCAGGACACTAGAAGCCCTCCCACTGTTGACCCCCCCCAAGCACCAAGAAGACAGAGCATCACTTGCCCAAGATCCCCTATCTATACCTTGTGGCTAATAGCCACTGATGGCCCTCTGCTCCATATAAGAACATCAGAGACGCCAATGTTGGATCAGGCCAAAGGCCCGTCCAGTCC